GGGTATAGACGCATAAACAGAGCCGGATCTAGAAGTTGGAGTAATGGCTTAACCGATTAAGACCAGAAATGACGTATGCTAAAGTCTGATGGTTACGTTGGGCGTAACTCCCAGTACGCGCAGCGTACTGGGTGGAGACCCCGATGCATGGGTTGGCGATGTACGCCCCGTGTACATCAAGCAGTACGCCCCGCGTACTCATAGGGTTGACTTTTGTTGACTTTTAGGGTTTTGGTCAACATGAAGACTTTGGGTCAAGGAAGTGTAAAATGGTCTTTTACCCTCTGAGGAATGATGATAAGGGGTAAAGTTTAGTTGTGGAAGTCTTTGAGTGTTAAAATGATATTTTTTATGTATAAGACGAGCTAGAGTCGTTGTTGGGTTTTGGAGATAGCGAGTACGCGAGATCTTAGACTTTCCACGAGGTGAGTTTTCTCACTATACTGTACCCGGAAGGGTTTTTATTGTGTGACCAGAAGGTCGGGTATGTTACGAGTTATATGCATGGTATATGATAAGTTAATCGTTTATATGTGTTATGTATGATATGCTTGATATGGGCCGGAAGGCATTATGTTATGGGCCGGAAGGTGTATATGTTATGGGCCGGAAGGCGTTGTGATGTGGACCGTAAGGTTGATGCAGGTAGGACCGGAAGGTTTACCTAGTTGGGACGGAAGTCCCCTGAGACACATGGAACGGAAGGTCAGGGCCTGGAAAGGCGTATGTGCGTAAGTTGTATTTTGGGGAACTCACTAAGCTATTATGCTTACAGTTGTTGTGTTATGTGTTTCAGGTACTAGCGAGGACCGTGGGAAGGCGCCGGCGTGATTGTAAACATTGATGGAGAAACTGTTTTTATGATCATGGGATGTATTTTGTTATGATAACATTGTTCACGTTTGAATTTGGAATATTAAACGATGGTTTTGATGTTTGAAAAAATGAAAAATTTGTTTTAAAATTTACGTTGTTACATATATAATCAAAACTCGGGATCTCATGTTCCGATACAGACCATAAAGCATAAACGATAACATTACAAGTCATTCAACAAATATATACATATACTGACTTGTAAACAAAACAACTTGATGGTTCATCCATCTTATGCCCTTGCGCCACTTTCTGTAATACAAATAAAACTGAGTGGGTCAGGCTTGGGAGCCTGGTGAGCATATAGGGTTTTCAACCCACAATAAATAATTAAATTAATTTTCATCAACCAACAATAACCCAATTACCCATTCCCGTTATTCTCACTTTCCGTCCCTAAGACAACTAACATAAGGGATCTAGTCTAAGAATATTTTATCGGGGCGACTACACATGCTTCGGGGGTTCCTCAGCAATATAAGTCAAATAAGGCAACCATGAGGGGGATGGAATACAGCGAATGAACACCCAAGTTCATTAACACCTACAGGTTATGAGCCTGCTAGCGTTCCACTGGACTGTCTAGAAAAGTCCGTGGTCGTCATCTAAATTCCGCTAGATGACTGGATCAAAACAACATCGAGGCCTCTCATCTGTTTATTACACACCAACTATCTACCCATGTTCTACCCAACATACTAGTAGATAAAATATACATTTTTATACATAGTTTCAAAACCTGTATAGCATGCTCAATCAATACATTTTCCACATAACAGATGACGCACACACACATAACACATATTTCATAGAGAAATAATCAGATCTACAAGATAGAAGAAAGTGAATATACATTCACACACATAACAACAAAATATACACATAACACGTATTTCGTATAAAATACTTCATAATTATGCGTTAGAAGAAAGTAACTACACACTCACTTGATCAGAAGATGATCGGACAGCACTACGGCTTGCAGAAGTAGTAATCCTCAGCAAATCTGGAAGATCTCTACAAAAGTCAAACTTCTCGCGGGCAGAGCTTCGGCTCGGGAATCGCACTTCTCGGGATCTGTGGGGCTTCGAAACTTGCTTCGGGACTCGGGAATATTACCGGGGCTTCGGGACTCGGGAATATTATTGGGGCTTCGGGGTACTTCTGGCACGCAAAACGATGCAAAATGGGAGAGAGAAGAGAGAAAAAGAGCAAATGAGTCGGCTGCCCTCGCATCCTATTTATAGGAGGCTGGAGCCTCACAGTACGTTGGGCGTACAGTAGTACGCATCCGAATTCATCACTGCATGCGTCATCCGAAGAACTCGAGTGCGAGGCGTGTCATGCTTCGCTGTAGGCTGGGCGTACTTCGGATCAGATCGGTGACTCCTTCGGATATACATCTGAATTAAAGATTAAATTTAAATACTAATTATTTAATAAACTTCAGAAATACATATCTTCTTCATACAAACTCCGTTTTTGACGTTCTTTATATCCATGCGTAGGTGAGACTACGCTCTACAACTTTCGTTTAGACTCCGTCGGCTAATTTTGACTTTATTTTTATTATTTATTTTTAGTAGGCCCGGACAGGAAAACTTCGTTATAAATTCATAACTTCTTCGTCCGACGTCCGTTCTCGCCTAACTTTTCATCATTTCGATACCAACAACGAGAGCTTCGATTCACGTTTAGATTGTTTCGGCTAAAAACCGCTCGATCTCAAATCAAGTATTTCGGGCTGCATACCGCTAAGTCGAAACTTCAATAAATCATAACTTCCTCATACGAAGTTGGATTTGGGCGTTCTATATATATTCGGAAACCTCGATTCAACTACTACAACATTATGCAAAGATATTGGGATTATCCCACACTTCAAATTTGATGCTTATTTTATTCTTAATTCATTAAATTATAATAATTAAGAAAATAAACACATAATTCACATAATACACAAATATTTCATCATTAATACTTCAAATTTCAAAAAGAGTTGCAAGGGTTAACCTAGACTATTACATCAATGATAATACCTAGCCTAAAAACGCGGGGCGTTACAGTTAACAAGCTCGGGCAATCCAACCGAGAGGCTGTGGGCCATGGGTAATCCAAATGGAAGGTTGTGGACTCAGTATGTGTTAGGCAATCCAACAGAAAGGTTGTAAACCAGGGCAATCTAATCGGAAGGTTGGGGGCTAGGGGTAATACAGCCAGGAGGTTGTGGACCCAATATGTGTTTCGTATATGTTCTGTTTTGTGGTACTTTGAGGGAACTCACTAAGATTTGGCTTACATTTTAAGTTTTTTGTTTCAGGTACCTTAGATGATCGGGGAAAAGCAAATGTGTGATCGTACACATCCTTCGGTGTCATGTTTTAGACATGTTATGATATATTTATTTTTGGAACACTTGTACTTGATCTTAATTTTTCATGACTTTGGTTTGGTTGAAAACAATGATTTATATTTAATTAAAAATGAAAATTTTTATTGCGGATTTGGGATATTACAAATTGGTATCAGATCCTTGGTTTGATGGTTTTGGGCACACTCTCGAGTGTGTCCGAACTCAAACTGAGGAGTTAACAAAATCTTTAAAAAAGAAAATGATTTTTCCAAAAAGGTTTAAGAAATGGGGTGTGATGCAGGCAATTAGCCGAGCTCAAGTAAGTATTTTCCAAAGTACCCATACATGAATGTTATGTTTTAGCATACTCTTGTGAATTACATGCTAGTATAGACATAAGGATCTTCTTAGAGTTGCTTGCTAGGATGTCTGCTTAAGTGAGATGTCTTTTGTATATGATATGTGGAGTTTAGAAATGCATGTTAGTGAGTATGGATCTTCAGGAGTTGTGTGATAGGATTGTCTGATTATGTGATTCCTTATTGATTAATGTTCGATGCTCGAATGTTGCTTGCTTTGTGTTATGTGAAACCCCTACTGATGTCAACTAACTATTAAACGAATATTTTAGGTTGCATGCTATAGGGATTAAATAATATTATAATGTTACGTTAAACTCTATTGCACAGCTCTTGTTTGAGTCAAACTGTTGTAGTGCAAGACCTCACAGTCGAAAAAATGTTTAATGTTTGTTGCATGTGATTGTATTCGTGAGCTAATCTTCTTAATTTTGAATCCTAGTAAGTGGCTTCTCGATTTTTTTAGAGATGATTTCTTATTTATTTGCTTAATTTCAATTTTTGAATGTTAGTCTTAATTTTGATTTCCCTATTTTGTTGAACTTCAAAATTTTATGTTGTGACTGTGTTGGGACTTTTCAATTGCTTAAAGGTTATTCACATCATCAGAGGCAGCCAACAGTAAGCAAAAAGGAACTTTCTTAATCTCGTTTTATTTTTTGTTAATCTATTATATTTATTAAATGGGTTGGCTATGTTATGCGCTGAAAAAGATTTGTGGAATAATATTGAACTTGATGTTATAATTGATGACTTTGCATCTAAGAAACACTCGAAAATGTAATTTTATTTGGTTTTTCTGTGCTTTATATATGTATTAGCGTTTAGATCATGTTATGTTCTTTTTCATTTTATTTTTTATGTATTAATAGTTGTTAGGTTGTTTGGCTCTCGGTGTCTGTCCCTAAGCCTTCTCATTTCCATAAGTGGTGAGTCACCAGCCTGCAATTGTTTTTTTTATAATGATTAATAAATTTTGGAAATGCTGCCATATATATATATATATATATATATATATATATATATATATATATATATATATATATATATATATATATATATATATATATATATATATATATATATACACACACCCGTGTCCAGATTTTAAGCTCATCTCTTGAAGGAAAGTTTTATTAAGGACAAAATTACAAATTTGGTCCCCATGGTATGTCAAAAATTGGGACTTTGTCCAAAATATTTTAGAATTACACAAATGGTCCAAAATAAGAACTTTATTGCGAGTTGGTCTAAAACTTTTTTAATGTATTTCAAATGACGAATTTATCATTTTAATTTTCTTTTTTAATTTTTTTTACAATAAATATAAAAACATAAATAAAATACAACACTCACCCCACCTCTCACCCCTTCCCGTATGTCTCTCTTTTCTAAAATACAACCACCACCAACTACCATCGATTGGAGATACAAACGCTGCCACCACCGTCACCGAACAGAGATATGAACGCCACCTCCCCCATCGCCAAAACTAGATCTTTAAATCCAATGAAGGTAACGCTGAAAACCCATGGGTTTTTATGCCTCAGACGGAAAACATAAGGCTAATAGATTAGGGTTTCATGGTGGCGGCGGATAGATTAGGGTTTTCTGAGACGACATTGTAAGTGTACCATGGAGGGTTGCTCAATTAAGGGGTTCCAGATCTAGACATGAAGTTGATCTTACGCGGAGAAGACGAACTGAGAAAGAGGGTGACGACTCCGGTTGTCATTCAGCGAGTAGAAGAGAGAGAAAAGAGGTATCAGACGAGCATCATTAGTGTCGTTGGGGAACGAGCAAGATGAAGCGACGTTCTTTATCTTCTTCGACTAGCGGGTCACCGTTGTCATCCTTCATCAAAAAAGAGATGGTGGATTCTAAAACAGAATGATATGGGTTGTTCATGGGTCTAAGATAAATTTGGAAGATTGATTTGGTTTTCTCTCTCGTTTTCTAGAGGTTTTTAGATTTTTTGTTTGCAGATCTCGAAAACTCAAATATGTTGTTCTTGGGTGTTATTGAGTTTGCAAGAAAATTGATAGTTGTGTTTGAGATTGCAGATATGAAAAAATAAGTGTTTGGCTTTCAAATCTGATTTTTTTTGTTTGCCTTGGAGCTGGTGTTAGTGGTGGTGTTCGACGGTAGTGGTGGTGACCAGTGGTTATGGTGGATTTCGGTGGTGGCTTGCTAGAGAGAGAGAGAGAGGGAGGGAGAGGGGGGGGGGGGGGGTGGGTTAGTAATAGGTAGTGGGGTCATCATTTTATATTTTAATTTAGAAAATAGTTAAATTAAATAAGAAAAATACAAAATATAAATACAAAATGCAAACTGTTGATTTTTAAAAGTTCAAAATAAATTGAAAACAAACTCAGAACAAATAAAACGTTTTTGATGTAACTTTAAAACATTTTGAACTAAAATTCCATTTTTTTACAAACTTAAGGACAAAATTTACAATTTTGTCTTTATTAACTCTAAACTTTTTTCTTAACAACTAAATAAATAAGCAAATTATAGGACCAAATTTTTTATCGCTCTCAAAATCTTGTTGAAAAAACTGTTCATAGTTTATTCATAAACTACCAATCACTGTTGCATAAATTTTTATACATCTATATTTAGAAAATATGTAATCGACGTATTTGATTTTAATATTAAAAAAAATAATAAACGACTATTGTAACATAAGACTATAAGACTATAAGAGTACAAAATATAGAACATATAAAAATAATTCAAATGAGGTATATACCTATAGTTAATTTAGTTACAATTCTTTTTAACCCTAATCAAGAATTATACACAAGCTAGGGCAAAAACCTGTCAATCGTAACACTCGTCATTTCCGCCGCCGTAGATTGAGCTCCAGTCACTCCGGCAACCGGCACCTCATTGCATCTATCACACCTTGTCGTCTTCAACAACATTTGCCGGCACGACGGACATGTAAAATGAGATACGATCCATCTGTCAATACACACGACGTGAAAACAATGGCTGCAAAGCGGCAACACTCTAACCTCGTCTCCGACAACAAATTCCGTCAGGCAGATGGCGCAATCGGAGAATCTCTCGGTCATGGAATCGCCGGAGTACGTGAGCTTCGGAATGCTTCTCAGAAGCTTGGAAGCCGGTAGCGAGAAGTGATCGTTCTGGGTGTTTGTAACGGTGTTGCCGGAAAACCAGCGGAAGCAGGTGCAGCGAGCGGCGGCGTTGAGGGCGATAAGGCAAAGTAAGAAAAACAAGATGATGACAAGGCCGACGAAGAGAAAGAACTGAGAGCTATAGATTACGTAGTGGTCGTCCGGCGTTGGTTCTGGCGGTGTCGGCGTGGGTGAATATTGACCGCCGAGAATCATGAAACGGTGAGACATGGGTGTGGTTGGGAACTGGTGGTGGGGTCAAGGAGCATGAGCCTGTTTTCAGCTTTATATAATGATTTTATTAACAACCGCTTTAACTATATTTCAAAGAAAAAATATGTATACTTAATACTTTTATTGGACCTCATTAGTTTTATAAACTCAAACGTTTTACTGCATAAATCTTCCCATTGATTGAAAATAATAATAAAAAATAGTTTTTAGTACTAGCTGTATTGAATGTTGTCCTATCTTTTTAAGGTTATAGTTAAATTTCGTTGGAACATAAATAAAACTAAAAATAATTTAAGGAGTAAATTAGATTTATCAATTAAAAAAAGTTATGAATTACTTTGTAAAATGGATTGGTTTGGTTAACCAATCAATGTTTTTTGTTTTCTTTGATTTATAAGTGATATCAAATGGTTTATAGTCAAGATATATAGTTATCTGGCGTTAATATTGTTTCATTCATTTTAAATCTTGTTTTCATTTGACACTAATTTATTAAGAATATATCAGAGAGTGTGTTTCCTTCCTTATTCCAAAAAATAAATAGAAGTGATGAGTCATAAAATGGGTTCCTCGAGGTTCGTTTAGAAGGTTTGATTTCTCATTTTTTTTTCGTGATTATGGGAACCAAAAAATGGTTATATCTTAGGTTGATTGGTTGAAAAATACTGTTAACGCCTCTATCTAGTCATTTTTAGATTTTAATATATTCAACTACTCATAAATTAATTACTAGAAATATCAGTTTATTTTTATAAATAAGATAGCTTGATTTTAAACACTACAATTTTAAACAATTGCTCATATCGACTAAAAGGGGGGACATCTCATTTGGTTCAAAAGATAACAAAAGTTACACATGATCTTTTATGTATATAAAGATTCGTTTTTTATGGCTCAAAAGCCTTCATGCAAATTGAAACAATCCATGAAGGACAAAAAAGAAGAAAAACAATCCTTTAAGACCAAATTGGTTTGAATTATTATACTGGGAAAATGATTTAAAAGCCCAACCAAGTTTCCAAACCATTCAAAAAACTTCAATCATGTTTTGTCTGTTCAAAAAAACCTAACGAACTTAACCTTTTGTCTAAAAAGTCCAACAAAGTTTCAAACCGTTTAGAAAATTCAAATTTTGTTTTGTTTAAGTTCGTTGGGTTTTTTTTGGACAGTCAAAACATGATTGGAGTTTTTTAAACGTTTTGGAAACTTCGTTGGTCTAACAAGTCATTTTTCCGATACGGTAATAAGCCACGTCATCTGCTTCTCTTATTTGACTTTTGAGAAAATGTAACTTAATTGAACTTTTTAGATAAAATGTTAAGTTTGTTGGGTTTTTTTGAACAGACAAAACATGATTGGAGTTTTTTAAACGATTTGGAAACTTCGTTGGGCTTTTAAGTCATTTACCCTTATTATACTATAAGTACAACATATGTAATGATCGTATTAACATTTTCATCAAACTAAAAGTTCTAATTAAGACATGATTTTAACATTATAGAGAAATAATATCACACCAAATAGATTAAAAAACAAACAATTTGGAGAGAACCAACATCCTTAATTTCAACAAAAAATTTGCATCATTCGTTTTGCACTAACATCACATAAATCATTATACGTAACCTTCATCTATCTCAATTCTCGTGTACCACATTTTTTGGATTTGAAAAACATTACCTGAAAACAAGCATATCACACTCTTACCTAATTCAATGATGTAATTTTTAATTAAATATATCGCATCACTGTTTTTAATTAATTAAGTTGTCTAAGGTTGTTTTTGTTAAGTGTGACATCCTAGAACTCGACCCACTTTTTGGAGCTACTTCTAATAATAAAGATGAGAACGATATTCACATCTTAAACATAAGAAAAATTGAAGTGTGTTATTGTCCTACCTTGTTCCATTTTATTACGCGGGAGAAAGGAATATGATTTTGGTCCAATAAACATCAGCCCCATACACACTTGTATCATAAGAAACATAGCCCCACCCAATGATCTCATATACAATTATCACGATCTTGTAAATGGATACCGTATAGATGAATTTTGCTTAGAAATTACCTTTCCACCAATTTGCCTCGCATACCTTATTTTGATTTTTATCCCTTGTAACTATAATTGCATTGATTTTCTCCCCGCCAAACCACGATTGTGCACACCACTCCGGTAGTGGCGTTGTGCTTACATGACACCACACCTGCTATGAGCTATGGTTTGCACCACATTAGGTTACAATGTGCACTCTCTCTATCTCTTGGTTCTCACTTCTTTTATCTTTCTTCTAAGGATCGTTCAAAACATATTTTATACCCAGAGAGAGAAAGAAAAAACTCATAAAATACACAAATTTCATCAGCGTTTTTGTAATATTTCAATAATTGAAAGAAAATTATTTGTACTAACTTCTAAATATAACATTTCGATTACAAAAATCAACATATTTAAAATAAAAAAATGTTTCTTCTAGCTTTTTGAGATGTAAAATCATTAATAATATCTTCGAGATCGATCTTTTATAGCATATATTTATCTATACATAGAATATCCAAGTTGTTTAACATTTCTTGTAACACTGACGACCTTAAGTAATTATTGTATAACTCCTCTTTACGGATGCACCAGTTACAAGAATAGTTAATAGGATTCTATAATCAATAAAAAAATTCGGGTATCAATCAACAACTTTAACAAATTCAAAAATTGCAACCTCAAATTCGATATTATTAGGTAGAATCATTTGCAACACTTTTAATTCAGTAAAAATAGCATTCGAATCCATTACAAAAAAAATGTTATTAGAAAAAGTAGTTGCAAACTTTATTCAATACTCTTTTAAGTCCCTTTTCATCTAAAGTTCTAAAGTGTTTGAGTCATATAATAATTTAAAAATACTTTGGAAATACTTCAATTGTTCAAATCTAGTATTTAGTGAAACAATTGCAACATCCATAATAACACGAAAGTAATCAGCCTTAAAATACGCCTTAATAGAAATGTAGGTTCGACATCCATATCTAAAGCAATAATTTTAGCAATATTTATGCTTGATGCAAACCCTTTATTTCTAAATTTCTTAAAAATATGTCATTACATTTTGTAATTGGTTAATTGTGGCATCAATATAAATATATTTAGATTGTAATTTTTTTACTTACCATATTAGTGGTAAATAAAATTTAATACCAAAAAACCATATCAAGTAAAAATTCAAAACTCTCAATAGAATTAACTAAACTTTGGGTTTCACTTTTTGATTTTGGGTTATTACATTATTTAGCTAATTCTAGCAAAGCTAATCGTATTTGAGAAGCATGAAATCTAATAGCTTTGACATTTTTAATTCTATTTTCCCAACAAGTATTAGATAAAGAATTTATAGGTAAAGTTGAGACATTATCTAACAATATTTTCTATCTTTTAGTAGAGCTAGAAAATAATGTATATAAGTGTTGCCCAACACCAAAAAAGGAAACAACTTTACCTGAAGAAAAAATGGGTCACTTTAAAAGATGGACCATGGACGGTTGACCTTATCGTTCACCCTCTTGAACGAGTTTGCTTCTTCCTCTCTTATTATCTCTCTTCAACTTGGGTGTGTATATAGGAAGTACACCAAAGTTGATGTGGTGCTTTCCTCTTGCTTATCTGAAAGAAAACCATGTCACGGGTGTGGATAATATACATGAGTGCATTATCTAAAGTAATTTATCGATTAAATAACTGATGCACCATAAATAGGGGGTTTACATCGATTAAGGGCATGTTTTGTTTTTTTTTTCTTTTTTCTTTCCACATTATGTGTTGTATAGATGAATGAGAGAGTGTTAAATTGATAAATGGTGTATGTCTAGAGTACATATTGCATAAATAAATACTATTTCTCTTTTGGATTGAATGAACAATTTGAATATCAAAATTACCATTTTACTCTTTGGTCTAGAAGTGATGCTAAATAATATTTGACTCACTTATATGAGAATCTTTATAATTCGAAATTGTAAAAGACCAAGATAAAAATTATATATATATATATATATATATATATATATATATATATAGAGAGAGAGAGAAAGAGAAAGAGAGAGAGAAATAGAGAGTTAAGTTTATATATAACCTATAAGTATTGTATGAATGTAGGATACATTCTCAGTCAATCGTTTGATAAGGTTATAATGACAATTTGATACATAAATCAATTAATTAATATTAAATGTTGATCCTATAATCATAGTAATTGAGGTTAACAAGGGATTGATTTCAAAACCACCAACTATTAGAATGATGGCTTTAGCCCTTGACTTGTCGACTCCACAAACGCACATCACCATCATCAAACCACCATTGGTACCATCATCATCTGGGCCTTAAATCAGCCATCTACACCACTTGCAACTCTGGAAAAATAGATAAGAAGAAGGGTGTTGGTTCTTGTTTGTGACAAAGGGAAAAAGATGCAACGAAGGAGAGAAAAAAAAAAGAAGAATTGAGTTCTTCTTATTCGTTTTGTTCCTCTTCCTATCTCTCACCTTCTACGAGGAATTTTTTCTTCTATTCCTCTTTCTATGTCAATGACATCATGATCTATTTTTAAAACATGCTCAAGTTGCATCTAAATGTAGCTAAGTTTTAATTTCATCTTGTGAATATCTTTTAGGAAAACTGCAAAAAAAACTCTTACATATTGATCTCATAATCGATTTAGTCCTTATTTTTTTTATTCAATAAAGTCCCAAAAACTAGTAATCGTATTCAACTTAACCCTTTTACCTGGTCAAAAGGTCCTTCAACTTTCAAAAATTACACCATTGGCCCAGATTTCAAATTTTATTACAAATTTGATCTATAATTTATACTTTTAGCCCAGATTTTAAATTTTACTACAAAAATTTTCAAATATTTACCCTTTTTGCCAAGATTTCAGAATTTTCTAATGAAATCATCCTAACTTTAGTTGTTTTTACAACATTTTTTCTCAAAAAAATAATTTT